GGGGGGGCTGAAATTTTAGGGTAATGACCCCTTGCCCACGCTCAACCTTGCCTGTTCAAATTCAGCGTTCCCGCGCTCTCGGTTATCACCTACGGCCTCGTGAAAGTTTTGGCTGGTAAGCTATTAACTCGGGAATTACTGAAAGATATTCACCCTTCAGCTTTTCGAATTCAGCTTTCATGCGCTGGTGCGTGAAGTTTTTAACCATTTTCCAATGTTTGAACTATTTTTGCATAGACAAAGCAGTGAAAATCATTAATAGGTAATCGTTCGATGGACTGAATTGCACAAAACGCATGATCGCACCGGCTAATCTGGTGCGCGTTGCTGTTTATTTTTTTCGCAGCACGAGCCAAAACTTGGACTTGAGTTCTGCCTACGTGTGTAGTGCTGACGTCTGCCCCGTTGTAACTTCTCGAAGTGCACATATTGCATCTCGTAAAACAGCTGTACAAGATACTTTTTTGAGGTTAAATGAGGACAGTGTGAGCTACGAAACACGTGGAAGCAAGAACATTGAAGCAGAGGAGAAAAGCAGGAAAAGAAAGAGGAAAGAAGGTAAGGAGTCCTGTCGTTCATGGGCTGTTAAATCACTGCTACATGATACTGATATTCGTTTCTTAAGCTGCCAGCCGATCACCAGATTCTAGTCGAGAAGAGCCAGTGCAGAGTCCCGATGATCAGCCTCTGCAGTTGTATCGAAAGACGAAAAAAGAGCGGAAGCCGGATTCATTGCGTGTTTCGGATGACTGCTTTGTTTGCCGTCGAGCGCTGAACGAATGCACGGACTTATGGGCGGAAGTTTGTTTTCATTCTTTACAAAAATGTTCGAACCACAGTTCTGGTGGTTTGTCATCATTTCCTCCACAGCGAACTTATTTCCGAATTATCGAAATATTTCTAAGTATGCCCTATAGAAGTACTTCCAGTTTTCCAGGCTTTTTGGCATGAAATGCCGAGAACCGGGAATTCTCAGGAGTTAGCTTTGCTTTTGGGAAAAAAGGGAACACAGTACCTGCAATAAGTTAATCTATTTTGCCGAACGGATTAACATAGTTCGGAATAGTACTGAGTATTTGGTTTCTTGGTAGAAACGGATTTGAAATAGTTCAGATAAGAAACAGTGCTTCATAAGAAACAATTGGTTCAAGATTACTTTTTTGTTTCCCTTTCATCACCGTTGTTAGATTTTGAATACTTAAAAAAATTCTTCCTTGTATTCCAGGTGCTGGGCGAGAAATCTGTCTACTGCTCGTTGGCTTGTGTTCAGAAACAAGTGGACCGGGCAAAAGAAGTAATTTCAAACTGCTTAATTTTTATGCTTTTTTTTGCATCACTGATAAAATATAGAAGCGCAGACTGTCCAGAGGTTGTCTTCGTATATGTGTGTGCGTGTGTATGTTCGTATGTTCTGATTTTATTACCCCTTGTCAGCTTAGCAGCCAGGAATGCTATGAAGCTGAAAGTTTGCCAGGATTTTTCCGGCTTATGGCAGCCTCACAAACATAAAATCAAATCTCACGCATTCTTTCCTCCGGCACCCAAATCCAAAACTTCTTTGTCCCTCATCACTCGGATATTTTTATGCGTTTTTGCATCTATGCAAAGCAGAAGACCCATATTGACAAGGGGTTATCTGTGTGTGTGTGTGTGTGTGTGTCTGTGCGTCTGTGTGCCTTTATGTGCGTCTGTACCGGTTTTTCATCTCAAAACCTACAAAAACCACAGCGCCGAAACTTCGAGAACTTAATATACATGCGCGTACGGGCCCCAATCCCCAAAATGGGCGCCCTCCGCGTGGTACCCGCCAAAGTTTTTTACGAACAAGCTGCTAACTCGGGAACCAGAAATGCCGGAAAGCTGGAATTTTGAGGGAACGTTCCGCGCCCACGTAGGTGTTAATGAGCTCAAACCCAGACAGCGGATGTGCGTGTTATTCACGTGTAGGCCCGTGAAAGTTTTTTACGGGTAAGTTTACTCGGAAACCTGAAAAGCTGGAAAACTATAATTTGAAGGAAATGTTCCCCGTCCACGTAGATGACCACCTCAAACCCACCCCCCGTGGTGTGCATGGCTCCTATGTACGGGCCCGTGATTTTTTGCGGATAAGTTGCTAACTCGGGAGCCAGGAAAGCTAGAAAGCTAAAATCTTAATGGGGTGTTTCCTGGCAGTTCTGACGGCCAGTCTTAATTTGTTTAGCTAGAAGCATCTGCCGGAAAAATCGGTGTTGGTAGCGAAAAAAATTGCAGGGAACTATGCAAAAAACGCATCTTCGCGCCGGCAGCTGGTGCGTTGGCCAATTATTATTTTTTTCTTGATACAGCATGGCAACCATCAAGCTGGTAGCAGCTTTAGGTCAGACATCACAAACTGTTCCAGGGTTGTTGGATTGCTCTCCATGAATTCAAGGTTATAAGATTTCTTACGTGGGCATTCCTAATTGTATTTATGGATTTTAGCTGATCTCGGACAAATCGAGTGCAGTAATGCTGCTGGATCGTTATGGCACTATGCTGAACGGGCCGGCAGCACCAACGGTTGAAACACTGTACGAATTCTTGTGTGCGCATGCCGAATTCACTCCAGTTTTACCATCTCATAAAATCCTGAAGAAAAGGGCAGGCGACAGTTAGTATTTATTGATTCACTTCACTCAAAAAAAATTTTTTTTTTTAATAATTCGTAGAAGTTTTTGTTTTGTTCATCAAAAAAAAAAAAATTCTCCTGCAATTTTCCTGCTCGGTTTTGGATAGCAGGCGGCAATCGGAAGACAACGGGCTGCTAAGAATCACAGATAATTGAGTGACGCTGCAATGGAATGGTTTGGAGTATCGATATTCATCTACAACTATGTGTCGGTTTTGAGAAAAAAAAACTCTCGGACGTTTTCCTCCGGGAATTCGAAATTGATACCATGTGATCTCGTCACTGTGTTTAGACCACGGTGTAGGATTAGGACAGTGTAGCCGGGGAAGTTGGTAAAGCGGCTTTACATGTACAGTATTGGTCGAAGAATGCTATTGATCCGCGTTGTCCTCAGCTGAACAATAGCCTTTGAAAACTGCCTGTCAGTTTCTCTAGTCGCGAATCGATATAACGATTGGGCTGAATTCCAGTAAAACTTTCGGAATTATGTGATCTTCAGTATGGTTGGTCATAACTGAGCATTAGAAGTTCTGCGTTATATTTCAACTGTAACCGTTAATTTCACACAATATTTGGACAAGGAGGGAAGAGCGAAAATACTTACTTCCAATGGTTAGTAGAGCAAAAGGAGAAATAGGATGACAACAATGGCGGGACGAGCAAACTGTTTTTATGCATTTTTTGCAGCTATGTAATGCAGGAGACGCATACTGACGAGAGGTTGTCTGTGTGTGTCTGTGTGTGCGTCTCTCACGGTTTTTCATCTCAAGATTTACAAAAGCTGCAGGACTGGAACTTTGGGAACTTAATTTACATGAACGGACGGGCCCCAGTCCCCAAAATGGGCACTCTTACTTGCGTGGTTCCCATGTGTGGGCCCGCCAAAATTTTTTTCGAGGAAGTTACTAGCTCGAAAATTTGAAAAGCTAGAAGGCCGTAATTTTAAGACGATATTCTCCGTCCGCCCAAATCTCATTGGGCTCAAACCCAGCCCCCGCGTATACGGGGTGCCCACGTACGGGCCCGCCAAATTTTTTTTCGCGTAAGTTGACAGCTCGGGAACCTGAGAAGCTAGAAGACTGGAGTTCTAAGGGAATTTTCCCCATTCACGTACGTATTAATAGACTCAAACCTTGCCCACAAGTATGGGCCATTCCCACTTATGGACGCGTGAAAGATTTTTTCGTGTATGTTGCTAACTCGGAAACCTGAAAAGCAAGAAGGCTGGGATTTTGAAGGGATGTTTCCTGACAGCCCTGTTAGCCAGTGTGAAATTCTTTTAGTTAGAAGCATCTGCCGGAAAACTTTTAGCGACAGAATCTGCGGGGAACTATGCAAAAAACGCATCTTCGCACGGGCAGCCCGTGCGTTGGCCAATTAGTTGATATTTGGTTGCAGTAAGATACAAAAGGAAATGGTCTTACCATATGTCAAGCGCAAAAGAAAGTAAAATTTCCTGGGCTGGGTACATTTCTCGTTTTTTTTTCTTTTTTGGCAACCATTGCTTATTTTCATATGTTGCCTGTTTTTTGGCAGCCACGCGTGTTTCATATTTATTTGTCACTCGTAACCACATGGGTAAGGGAGCAGCGCCAGCAGCAAGTGTAAACAGATAGAGCAAGACAAAAGGGCATTCTGCGCAGTAATTTCAAAGCACCAGGGGTTTTTATGCGTTTTGTGCTGTGTAACAGCAGTACAAAACGCATATTGTTACGGGGTTGTCTG